TCCACATTTCATCAATGCATCCAGTAAAGACGTGATAATGAACTCATTCTCAAGAAATGACTTGTTCATAATTGATAAGACGTGTTTCGTCAAAGTCAGTGCTGCTGACGTTCGTAGTTGCGCGCAAGCATTGAAGAGAAGATTTGTAATGATTGCATCAGGACCATCGATCCTGTTGAATAGATCGATGGCCTTGTCTGCTTGATTGTTTGTGATATAGCCCTTCATCATTGCTCCATATGCTGCTACCGCCTTCTCATTTATTCTATTAAATATCGCTTCGGCGTGTTCAACGTCACCACATTCCATTGATGCATTCAGTAAAGATGTTAAAAGGTAAGCGTTTTTGTATAGCATCTTTGCTTCATCCTTTGCTACAGCTTTTACCAGAGCTAAAGCTTCCGCAGTGCGTAGTTGCGCACAAGCATTGAGGAGAAGATTGACTATGATGTCATTAGGACCTTTGATCTGTTTGAAAAGAGCAACGGCTTTTTCAGCTTGATTACTCGCAATAAAACCTGAATACCAACTCAATTCAATCCACACGGGCATAAAACATAGATACCTTTCATCATTGCACCATATATAGGAAGTTGCTTTCCCTTTATTGTCTCAAATACCTTCTCAGCACGTTCTACATCTCCACATTTCACTAATGCATTTACTGATGATGTTGCAAGACGATAATTGGACTGGAGAGAGTTTTCCACTTTTATTAATACCTTCTTCAACGCATCCAATGCTCGTTGGGTCTTCAGATCTGCACAAACCTGGAAGAATACAACAAGATTCACCTCACTCGGTGTTTGGATTTCATGAAAAACTTCGAATGCTTTCTGTGCTTTATTGTTTGTCAGATATCCTACAAGAACTTGTTCTATTTTATACTTTCTTGCACAATGAAACAAGTTACCTTTCATCATTGCACCGTACACAGATGGAACTTTTGTCTTTGTACCATGAAACAGTGTTTCAGCACTTCGAACGTCACCACATTGCACTATGAAAAGCAAAAGACATGCGATAGAGGATAGATTGATGAAACTCACTGTACATATGGATGAGTGACGTTACTATGTATTGATCATCTTTGGTGCGTGATGTAACAAGATCATGGATCGCTTTACCACTTCGAATATCTCTTAGATGAGTACACGCCTTCAGAGCTTGTGTGATCGTTAAACTGGACAGAATTTCAGTATTGTTTTTTTGATGCTGATGAAAAAGTTGAAGTGCCTGTTGGAATTGTTTGCTATCGTTCAATGTCTTCAATCGATCGCCGAGATTAGAAGCGAATCTGATAATTGTGGTTCCTTTAAGGAGACTCATGAGAGGTACTAAACCATAATTTAATGATCGTCTCCACATGAACTAACTTTGTAGAAGTAATTTGC